AATTCGGCGAGGCCCTTCGCGCGTCCACATTCATCCGCTGCGGCGAGGATGGTGCCCAAAGAGCTCGGCGATGCCAGCGGTGGAGCTCTATTACCCGTGCCCTGCCTGAGGGCGGTGGCAGCACCCCTGGAGACCCTGTAGGCGACGGTGCGCTGCCCCCTGTGCTCCGCCAATAAGCACAGCGTTTCCTTGTGCTTGACCTCCTGCTATTGGATGTGGATCTCCCAGCACTGCAGCCGACCTCTGAGCTTCTCGCACTCGGTCGCATGACGCTCTGCATCAAGACCCACGCTCCGAAACGCCTCCTTCTACCTCTGGTGGGCGGCTCGCGATTCCTGGAGCCCCTCTTGCAGGGCATGCCTCTGCGCGCTGGAAGCCAACTCCCTGGACTGGCTGGCCTCGTCACGTAGGCACTCCACTTCGGCGTTGGCGTTGTTATTCTGGCGGATCATCTCTTGAACCTTCTGAAGCCGCACGTTCTCTTCTCCTGGAGCTTGTCCTGCTGGCATCGGCGACGACGGCAACGGGCCCGCCACAGCCGCGAAGGAGCACCCCAGCAGGATGCGCAAGGTCATTGCGACAGCCTTTGCCCGTTAACTGGATGCGCGCTTTCCGGGCCATGGCCCAGGCAACGGCGACCCCGAGGGCTCGAGTGGCACATCGACGACGACGTTCGCCACTTTTACCAGTCCCTCGACCCGTGCGAGGACAGGCACATGGGGCTCCATTACGACAGCGCGACGAAGCGGGCGGCGGCGCACCATCAGCAGCAGGTGAATGAGGCCAGAGAGTGGGCACGAGCTGACATTGTACCACCCGCGTACAGACGAAAGGCACTGAGCTAACTATCCGACGCCAGTGCCCAGGACGGACCACCAAGTGACGGCATCGCTGACACCACAAACGCGAGCTGCGCATGCTGGGCCGCAAGGCCCTCTGCCAAATCGAGACACACCCAGAGGTGGGCCAGAAGTACTGCGTGTTTACGTTCGTGGCGAGGTTCTGGGATTGATTGTGTGTGGTGCTCGTCGTGGTGCTCGGGCAAGCCGACAGGGTATGGGATCCCAGCTGCGCCGATTGTCGGCGGCTGGTCGCCGACCCAGGCCCTGGGACCCAGCGGACTGCCCAGGCAGTTCTAACAAGCTGGGGTACGTCAAACATCATATGTACATATGTGTATATACATGCATATGCATGTATATATGTATGTATGTATGCATGTATGTATGTATGTATGTATGTATGTATGTATGTATGTATGTATGTATGTATGTATGTAGGTATGTATGTATGTATGTATGTATGTATGTATGTATGTATGTATGTATGTATGTATGTACGTATGCATGCATGCATGCATGCATGCATGCATGCATGCATGGACATATATGTATGTATGTATGCATATGCATGCATGCATGCATGCATGCATGCATGCATGCATGCATGTATGTATGTATGTATGTATGTATGTATGCATGTATGTATGTATGCATGTATGTATGTATGTATGTATGTATGTATGTATGTATGTCTATACATATGTATATTACTAGGGCGGCTTGGTGGTGTACAGCCTCGCAGTCCCTTGACTTGGCGTCAGTGTAGAGACAGTCAGGCAGTGCGTATGGTCAGGCGGGTCTGGCAGCGCCCTTCGGGACAATGTAGAAACAGCCTGGCTGTGTGTATGGTCTGATGGGTCTGGCAAGGCTGGGGCCATCGGATACCGGAATGAGTGGCTGCGTCTGCGGGCGCCGTTCCTGGGGCTCACCATGGAACACGATGTCAACGGAGAGGCGCCCAATCGTTGTGCTGCTGGAGACCAGGCCGGCGGACCCTGTGTGTTCGTGGAGGCGCAGGCGGCGATCCACGAGCCCACGGGCGCGCCCCACGTGGATACGCGAGCCGACTACGTGGAGCTGAGAGCGGGCTACGTGGAGAGGCGAGCGGACTACGGCGAGAAGAGGGCGGACCACGGGGAGCTGCACGTGGTCACCGCGGACGCCACGAACGACGCGAGCCTCGAGGAGTCGGAGGCGATCCTCGAGGCGAACAGCGGACAGCCGCCCCCAGGAGGCGTCGGGCCCCCGTCGGCCGAACCCGCTGCGCCCTTGCCCCCGGCAGAGCGGACGCGAGCGGGGGAGGCCAAATAAGTCGGCTCTGCCCTCCCCAAGGGGCGGCTGAGCACACCAGGCGTCGCCTGAACTCGTCGGCCGAGCCGCTGCGCCGCGGCGGCCGCTCGCGCCTGGGGGAGCAATTGGGGTCACTCCTGGCGCTCCCGGGGCCCGCCCGCGTGGCGCCCGCCACCGCCGATGGGCTGGCGCTGCAGGGTCTCTGGAGCAGCGGGGGCTCCCAAGCCCCAGTGCCCTCTGGGTTCCTACCTCTGTGAGGGTGGTCGGAACCACCCGTCGCCGTGCGGGCGTGCCACCACTTTCCCTCGTGTCCTTTTGGGTGGGCTTACACATATAGCTCGTTCGATATATAGATGGATAAATGTATACATTATGTGCATATACATTCAGACGTATTCATGTTTACATGCATGCTTTACACATATATATGTATGTAGGTGTGTGCATACACCTAGCTAAGTCTATACATATGCATGCATACATGCATCCATCCATCCATACACATATACATATATATATATATATACATACATATATCGTTACAAATATCGATATACACACATGTATATATGCATGTGTACAGTTGTACACATATAGAAGAGCGAGAAATAGAGAGAGAGAGAGCGAGCTATAGATATAGAGAGAGCGATAGAAAGAGAGACGTAGAGCGAGAGAGAGAGAGAGAGAGAAAGAGAGACAAGGCGAGAGAGACAGAGAGAGAAAGGGAGAAAGCGCCTCCCCCTCTTCCCCCCCTCGAGTGGGCAGGCTCCTTTCGCCGCCAGCTGCGCGCCGCCGCGCTGCCTAACCACTGTTAAAATGGAAACGGAGAGGAGGAGGAGTAGGAGCAGGAGGAGGAGCAGCAGGAGGAGCAGGAGGAGGACGAGGATAAGGATGAAGAGAATAATGAGGTTGTGGATGATGATGGCACTGATGATAATGCTGAGGATGCTGCTGATGATGACGATGCTGGCAGCGATGACGACGATATTGATGGTGGCGATGGTGGTGTCAACACTGGTCAGGTGATGCCGATGGTGACGATTCTCATGCCGACGTTTGATACGGTGCTGCCTAGCATGGTAGAATGTTGATGGTGATGCCGATCCTCTGGTGAAGCCGATGATGACGATGGTGATGCGGCGGCTGCTGATGACCTGGATGATGATAGTGGTGGGGGTGATGATGCTGATGCTGCTGCTAATGATGATGTTGATGCTGAGATTGCTGCTGCTGCTGATGCTGATGCTGCTGCTGATGATGATGGTGATGGTGATACTGGTGATGGTGATGATGGTGGTGGTGATGATGTTGCTGCTGATGCTGCTGCTGCTGATGATGATGCTTACGATGATGCTTACGATGATGATGATGCTGATGATGATGCTGATGATGATGAGGAGGAGGAGGAGGAGGAGGAGGAGGATATTTGGCCACCCCTCTCCCTCTGGTGCGGGCGGGACCCACTCCCAGCTCGTGCCCTCCTAGTCCTTGGCCGTACCGCCGGAGGCCCGTGCTGTGCCTGGGGGACGCGGATTACTGCTTGAGCTGCCTGAGCTCCTCCAGATCCCTAGCCGAGGCGGGGCGCCCTGTTGTCGCTCCTTCTCTAACTTCCCGTCCCTCTCCCTCTTCACCTCCCTCTTCACCTCCCTCTCCATCTCCATGCTCCACATCACCCCCTCCCTCCCACCCACTCCCCGCCGCCTCCTTCTCAAAGGCCCGCTCTCAATTCTTGCGTGGCTGCGGCGCGCCGTGAGCAGGGCACAACCGCCACAAGCAGGGCGTAGTTCGGGCGCAGCTGCCACATGCAGGACACCACTGACGCAAGTGGGCCGGCCAAGTACGGCTTGATAACCTGGAGCGGGCTTCTAAGCTTCCCTCTTCCTTGAATCCGTTCTTCTCTCTCACACAATCGGCCCTCCATTCCCATGTTTGCCTCCTGATGCCCCTCCCTCTTCTCCCCCTGCTCCTTTTCCTAATGCTCTTCCTCCTCCTCCTCCTCCTCCTCCCTCTCCTCCTCTTCCTCCTCCTCCTCCTCCTCTTCCTCCTCCTCCTCCTCTTCCTCCTCCTCCTCCTCCTCCTCCTCTCTCCTCCTCCCCCTCCTCCTCCTCCTCCCCTCCTCCTCCTCCTACTCCTCCTCCTCCTCCTCCTCCTCTCTTCGTCCTTCTTTTCCTGCTCCCTTTCCTCCTCCCCCCCGTCCCTCGTCACCCGTCCCTCCTCTCCTCCTCCTCCTCCCTCCTCCTCCTCCTCCTCCTCCTCCTCCTCCTCCTCCTCCTCCTCCTCCTCCCCCTCCTCGTCGTCGTCGTCCTCCTCCTCCTCCTTCTCGTCCTCCCTCTTTCTCTTACTGCCTCTCCTCCTTCTCCTCCTCCTCCTCCTCCTTCTCCTCCCACTCCTCCTAGTCCTCCTCCTCGTCGTCCTCCTCCTCCCTCTTTCTCTTCCTCCTCCTTGTCCTCCTCTTCCTCCTTCTCCTCTTCCTCGTCCTCCTCCCTCTTTCTCTTCCTGCTCCTCCTCCTCCTCCGCCTCTTTTTCTTCCTCCTCGTCCTCGTCGTCATCCTGCTCCTCCTCCTCCTCGAAAGAAAGCCCCAGAGGAGGGGTCCGTACCTCTGGGGGTCCACGCCACGAAAGCATCACGACGTCGGGGGTCTGGGCTGTGGGGGTTCAGGGACTCTTCCCTGTGGTCGGCCTCCGGGGGCCCTCGCCCAGGCTCGGGGCCGTCAGGGAAGGACTCCGGGCGAAAAGCCGGCCCCAGGGAGGCGTAGGCTTGATTCGCCCGAGTCTCGATTCGCCCGAGTCTCCATTCGCCTAGCTCGATTCGCCCGGCTCGCTTCGAGTCCAGCGAATCGAGTCCGTGCCCCGGGGGAATGAAGGTGGGGTCCACGCCACGAAAGCATCACGATATCGGGGGTCTGTCACCTCTTCCCCTTCTTCCCCCCTCTCCCCTTCGTTCCATCAAGGCTGCACCCCCGTGGGTGCTGCTGTCGACCCCTATTGGTGGATCGAACGTCTCCGCGCCGCGTGAGTCAGGCTGGTTCGCGCGCTCGCCTGACCTGTCGGGGCTCAAGGGACGGGCGTCAATGCAAACGGGGATCAACCAGAGCGCCGGATCTTGCAGGATGCTGCAGGGCCAGGGTTGCACCGACCCGGGTCAGCGTGCAGGAGCCCGCAGGATCCTGCAGGAGCCTGCAGGCTCCTGCAAGGCCTGACTGGCCCAGGCTTGCACTGGCCCGGGCCAGTGCGTCCTCGAGCCTGCTCTCTACGCCACGCCGCCGCGCGCGCGGCCGTGACGCCAACGAGGGGCTCGGGCCCAGACATGCGACGTCCTGAGTTTCTCAGGACGGCGTCCCCGCAAGTCCCGGACCTGTCCCCAGGACCGGTTCTTCGTCCCGAGTCGTGTTTTGACGGTCCCGAGGCCCGGCGAGGGCCCCCGAAGGCCGAAACTAGCGAAAAACCTCCCGTCCTGAATCTGTTGCGACGCCATCCTGTCTGCCGGGGTGTCCGGGGCTCGTGCTCCCGCGGGCACCCGGTGCCTCGAGCGGGCGCCCCTCCCTGGGGCGGGGGGGGGCCACCGGCCGGCAGCCGCTGGCAGGCCCGCCGAGCGCCCATGGGCCCTCCTGCCAGGAAGGCAAAGGGGGCCCTGCCCAGACCCCCATCGAGTCGTGAGGCAACGCAGGGCTCGAAGAGGGGGTCGACTAACTGCAGAGCTGATCTACCCCAGAATCGATCCTCCTCGTCGAACCCACGGAGAAGTTGTGGACCTTTCGCAAATCTACGAATATTCTACGTGAGCTTGTTTGAGGTTCGACGCGGAAGTCAATTTCGGATTAAATCAATTCCGTAGTCGATCTCCTACTCAAATGACGGGGGAGGCTTTCGGCCAGCTTCGGCCACTTGGGGCATTCGGGGTGAAGGGCTGTCCCTGGAAAGGCCCCGAGGGGTCCACGGCCCCCTGGCCCTCAGGACCCGTTGGCTTCGTGCCAACCGCCCTTCGCTGCGCGGGGGGCCCGGCCGGCAGACGACCTGACCAGCCGAGCGGCCGGCCCAGCAGAGCAGCGCCGGCTGGTCGAGCCGGCCGTCGGCACGGGCCTTCTCGCTGCCTGCGCACCGCCGCCGCCGGGTCGCCGGAGTTCTGGAGCCCCTCGGAACCTGCAGAACGGCCAAGCGGTACACATTGTTGATTTCTAATTCTTCGAAAGCTCTTTGATTTTTTTTGGGGGGGGCCACGCTCCTTTCATTTCTAATTGTTCTATCCTGGGCCTCTTCTTGGGCACTAGGGGGCCAGGAACAAATTAGAAATGAGCGCACTTAGAAATGAGCACGATTAGAAATTAACGACGTGTACAGATCGGCCACCGCCTGCGGGAGGGAGGTTGGGAGGAGGGATGGAGGTCGAGAGTTGCCGAGATCCAGGCATCCGAAATGGGGCCGGAGTAGATGCGGTCGAAGGATCCCGCCGCATCGCCGATGCATCGCAGAATCTGCGCTGCGTCCTGACCCCGAGGAACGCAGTGGTCGTTTTCGGTATAGTTGTCTGGTGGAAGTATGGGGTTGTCTTCAGTCCTGCTTCGGCCTGCGGAGCTGCAATACATTGATGCGGCAACTCGGGCTTTGACTCTGGTAGCGTGCCTTCGCAACATTCAATTTTGATGAGTGGCACCGCGCCTTCACAGCAGGACCAGAATCTGGGAGTCGGATTGAGGCCCTGATTCTGTTCGGAGTCTGCTTCCCTCCACCCCCCCATGCCCCTCCACTCCTCCCCCCCCCTGGCGCTTCTCCGTTGCACGCTGCGGTGCGGCCCTGCTGTGGTGAAGCGCAGTGTACGCTGGCCAGTACAGATCTTGTCATCCGAAACATCCTCCCCCTACCCCTTGCCAAGTGCGTTTGGAGGTGCCAATGTTGTCTTCGTTTTCGAAGGTCTGTGCAGTGCCATTGCTCTGAGGGCTGTCAGGGTGAGGCCCCTCCTGCCGAGCAACAAATGTCGAATCTGCGGCATCCAGTGCTCGCTCTTCAGTGCAGTGACTCGTCTCATCTCTTCGCTTGCCTCAGGTGTAAGGCCAAGCCTACACTTGTCTCGGTCGAATAATTCGTTTGCGCCAGCTTTACGACCATCGCCGCACCGGCAGCACCGACCTGGAGTATCTTTAGCCGATCCAGAAGGGTCTCAACCCTAAGCTCAAAGTGGTTGCGGTGGACATCATCCCACCAGAGGTCGAGTTATAGTGAAGATCATTGCTCGGCCTCTTTTTTTTTCCTCAGGTTGCCCGTTGGGCGAGATCAAGTGATGTAACAACAGTTCCTCTCTCCACTCCCTCGGTCCCTCTTCCTGTCTCGCCTGCACGCCTTTGATCTTTTCGAAGATGGACCAGGGATGGCCTAAACAGCAGTGCTAGTAGTGGTGACAGTCGTCGTCGTCGTCGTCGTCGTCGTCGTCGTCGTCGTCGTCGTCGTCGTCGTCGTCGTCGTCGTCATTCTCGTAGTACTACTAGCAGGGGCAGTGGAGGCAGAAGCAACGGGTAGTAGTTTAATGGCTGATGTGATCATTCGGTGGGGCAGATGTCGCATCAGCAACGTCAGCAGCATCAACAGTAGATGTACAACTCTGCAGTGCGATTGCTGGTGCTGCACTCGTTCAGAACATGCCAGCGGTTGTTTTTGGCAGGCCTGCGATCTTCAAGTGAGAAGAGCTTGCCTTGTTTCGTCGCTGGGTCGCTCGGATCTCGTTGATTGTAGTCTCCGCTTGGTCTCTTCGTTTTTGTCTGCCTGCTGGTTGCCTCTTCAGGCCATGGAGAGCTCCGACTTCCTAGTAGTACCCGTGGTGACAGGAGACCGTCGGCGGCGGAAGGGGCTATGAGGGACGACATCCCTGCTCCTGCTATCCTCAGATCTTCCCCTTCCTCTCCTCCACGTTTTCGGTGTGTCCCTCTGTTTGCCGTGGGAAAGACTTGTTTTGAGAAGCATATGGTGCAAGCACGCACGCACACTCTGTCCATAAACAGGGCATTCCCTCACCTCAGGGGTCACCCTCCAAAAGCTTCGGAGCACAGCTTTCCCAGACATGAGCTGGGTGCCAGGTGCCACCCACCTCTTATAACTTGGAAGTGGCCGTGGTCCCTCCTCCTTATCTTCCTCCTCCTCCTCCGCCTCCTCCTCCTTCTCTTTTTACCATCCCTCGAGCTCCCTCCCTCCTGCTTCCGCTCCTCCTTCTGCTGCTCCTCCTACTCCTTCTGCTGCTCTTTCTCCTCTTCCCCCTCCCCTTCTTCTTCTTCTTCTTCTTCCTCCTCCTCTTCCTCCTCCTCCTCCTCTTCGTTCTCCTCCTCCTCTTCCCCCTTCTCCTGCTGGCCGGCGCGAGAGCTCCAGGGCGTGAAGGCTGCGTGGTGCCCCCCGGCCAGGGCGCCGGCCCTGCCCAGGCCTCCCGGCAGGCGGTGCCGGAGCGCGCTCGGGTGGGCCTCGCCGTGAGCTGGGCCGTGCCTGTAGGTGTGTCACTGCTGTCGGGAGGGGGAACAAAAACACACAGACACAATGTCATCGTCGATTCTCCAGAAATATGGGAAAACATGGGAAGTGGGGGGGGGGAGAGACAAAGGCCGAGAAGATACGGGAAAAGATGGGGAATCCTGTCATTGGTGTCTGATTATCTGTGTCCCAGGGCCCCTTACCGGTGGGGTCACCAGCTCCTTCCGAGGATTTGAAGCTCCGGGATCGAAGCTCGAGGAGTTCTTTTGCCGGCCGTCTGAGGTCGTTGTGTGTGGGGGGCTTTGGAGTGCCCCCCGGGGGCCCAGTTCCCTGGAGGAAGTGGCGCTTCCCCGAGGAAGTGGCCACCCGTCTTTCGTTGCATGGCACTGCACGGGAAGGGCGTGCCTGCCGCTGAGAGGTCCGCACTCCGCGGCCCCAAGAAGGAACCACCAGCACAGCTTTCGCAAGTGGTCAACACCATGGTGTCCAAGCAAGCGTCGTCTCACCGAGAGCACAGCATAATTACACAACATGCGCGTCTTGTGGAGTTGTACGTCCACTTGCGAAGCGCGCCCATACCAGAGCATGGGTTTCCCCCCTCCCTTCTTCTTCTCTCTCCTCCTTCCCTCCTCGCTTCTTCTCTCGCGCTCCCGTCGCAGCTCCCCCCCCTTCTCCAATCCGCCTCCAGCCATCTCCTTTTTTTACCCAGCGCCCCTCGCTCGCTCGCTCCTCTCCTCCCTCCCTCCACTTTTCCCTCTGCTTCGAGGCCCCCTTCCTGCCAAGATGCCGATCGCCCTGTCGATTGTTCTCCAGCTGCCGCTTTATCTTATCTTCTCTTGCCTGGTAGTGATCGGACCTAGTCCCTGACACTCTCTCTACTCCTCCCCCCAGGCGAGTACGGGCTCGGAAAGTCTCAGGAGCTGGACGAGGCCGCGCGAGGCGACGCTGACCATTGATGTTCGCCACCGCGTGCCGTCGTCGTCGTCGTCGTCGTCGTCGTCGTCGTCGTCGTGGTCGTCGTCGTCGTCGCCGTCGTCAATGGGGAGCAGAAGGAGGAGGAGGAGGAGGAGGAGGAGAACCGGCACGCATATAGGATGAAGTTCGGATCTTTGGAGCCCCCACCGTATGCTGGTAAGCTCGCCTTTCTCAACTCTGGGGTGAGGGCCAGGGGACCTTCAAAATCAAAGGTGAGCCTGTTGTCCTTTTGGGGTGGATGCTTTCGAACGATCGTTGACGCTGCAAGGCTCGGACATTTGCAGTTCTTCATGGCCAACTCATACCACTTCCGTTCTGTAGACGGACCCCTCCTGAAGCCCTGGTTTCAATGTTTCCGCGTACCTCCGCTGTCAGCTTGAAAGCCCAAATCCTGTGACGGCGAGCTTGATGATGGACCGACCTTGGACACGACGTAGCTTTTGCAAGCCTCCTGTTTCTCTGGAGCCTCGAAGCAGCGGCCGAGTTACCTATGCCAGGATTTTTGGAGGGGAGGATGATGAGGAGGAGGATGAGGAGGAGGTGTATGAGTGGGCAAGGGAGCAGGAGAAGGAGGAAGAAGAGGATGAGTATAATGAGGAGGAGGTGGGCGCGGATGATGTCGTGGTTGTTGAGGCTGATGATGTTGTTGATGATGATGATGCTGATGATAATAACGTTGATGATGCTGACGAGGACGATGAGGATGATGGGGATGATGATGACGATGACGATGACGATGATGCTGATGATGATGACGATCCTGCTGCTGATGATGCTGATGATGCTGTTAATGCTGATGCTGATGCTGATGCTGATTCTGCCGCCGCTGATGATGAGGATGATGATGATGATGTTGATGATGATGTTGCCGCTGATGATGAAACTGATGATGGTGCGGATGAGGATGTTCGTGATGATGAAGAAGGAAGATTAGGATTATGGTAATAATGGTAATGCCGATACTGCTGCTGATGATGCTGCTGACACCGCTGCTGCTGATGCTGAAGAACATGACAATTAAGCAAACGCTGATTATGATGATGCTGTTGTCGATGACGATGCTATTGCTACTGATGATGATATGCTGATGATGATGACGATGATAATGAGTATGGTGATGATGATGCTGATGATGATGATGATGCTGATGATTATGATGATGTCGACGATGAAGCAGATGATGATGGCGACGATGGTGATCATGATGAGGCTGATGACGATGATGACAGTGACGAGGATGAGGTTGATGATCAGGATTATGCTGCTAATGATGATGCTGATGATGTTGATGATGATTATGTAGGATGGTGGTGCTCATGATGATGATGATGATGCTGGTGATGCTGCTGCTGATGATGATGATGATGATGAGGAGGATGAGGATGAGGATAATGCGGATGATGATGATGAGGAGGAGGAGGACGAGGGGGAGCATGAGGAGGGCGAGGATGAGGAGGATGATGCAGAAGATGATGATGATGATGATGATGATGATGATGATGATGATGATGATGATGATGATGATGATGATGATGATGATGATGATGATGATGATGATGATGATGATGATGATGCTGATGATGATGATGATGATTATTGGTAAGAAGGTGATGAGGATGATGATGGTGCTGCTGCTGATGATGACGATGATGATGGTGAGGATGCTGATGTTGACGATGCTGCTGCTCCTGATGATGATGATGATGATGATGATGATGATGATGATGCTGATTATGCATTTGCTGCTGCTGAAACTGCTGCTGCTGCCTTCTGCTGCTGCCGATGATGATAGTTCTGGTAATAATGCTGATGACGATGATGATCTTGACGATGGCGATGATGCTTGTGATGATGATGTTGATGATGCTGATGCTGATGCTGATGCTGATGCTGCTGATGATGATGATGATCATGCTGCTAATGCTGCTGCAGGAAGATACAAATGATGCCGACGCTGAATTTTGCTGATTATGGATGCTGCGGCTGATGCTGATGATGATGTTGAGGATGATGCTGATGATGGTTGAGGAGCAGGGGGAAGAGGTGGGGGAGGGTGCGGAGGGGGCTTGTCTCTTTTCCACCTCCGTCGTTCTTCTCCTTCTTCTTCTTGTTCTTTTTCATCCTCTCCTTCCTCTTGTTCTACTGCTGCTTCTCCTCCTCCTCCTGCTCCTCCTCATCCCCGTCCTCCCTTTCCAGAGCGGGGTGCGAATCGACATACCACTGTGGGCCAGGATTCCGGGTCCCAGTGTCTGACCTATCCCGCCTGCACAGTCGATCCAGTGCCGCAGCTGCAGCGTTTGGTAGAGTGGTGTGGCTACAGCAGCAAGATCGCTCAGAGGCAGAATGTGCGTCCTCCTCCTCTTCCGCCCTTCCCCTCACCATGTTCCCCCTCCTCCCCCCGTCCTGCTCCTGTGCCTCCTCCTCTTCTCCCTCCCTCCGGAGCTCCTTAGGTGCTCCCGCTCCCACCCTATCCTTCTCCTCCTCCCGTCGTTTTCCAGTTTCCAGTTTCCAGTACTGGCAGCAGAACCCGCAATCTACATAGAGCAGAATCCACATCAAAGAGAGAAGAAGTGATAGAGAGAGAGAGAGAGAGAAAGAGAAAGAGAAACAACATTACCCTGTGATGTACCCAACCCATTTGTATCAATGGAAACGAGGAGTTGGCCGAAACTTGTATGGACAATCAACTTGATGTGTAAGCTACTTGGGAGGCGTCACTGTGCTGGGCCCCGCCAGCAGGCCTCGAAAGTGGCGACAGTTTCACAGATCGCAGCCCCCCAGGGATGGCGAGGTCTAATTTGAATCTGCGTGTGGCATCACTGTGCTGGGCCCCCCAGCAGGCCGCGAAAGTGGCGACAGTTTCACAGATCGCAGCCCCCCAGGGATGGCGAGGTCTAATTTGAATCCGCCGTGGGTGCCCACTGTGCTGGGCCCCCCAGCAGGCCTCGAAAGTGGCGACAGTTTCACAGATCGCAGCCCCCCAGGGATGGCGAGGTCCCATTTGAGTCCGCCGTGGGTACCCACTGTGCTGGGACCCCCAGCAGGCCTCGAAAGTGGCGACAGTTTCACAGATCGCAGCCCCCCAGGGATGGCGAGGTCCCATTTGAGTCCGCCGTGGGTACCCACTGTGCTGGGCCCCCCGGCAGCCTTCGAAAGTGGTGACAGTTTCGCAGATCGCAGCCCCCCAGGGATGGCGAGGTTCAATTTGAGTCCGCCGTGTGTACCCACTGTGCTGGCCCCCCCAGCAGGCCTCGAAAGTGGCGACAGTTTCGCAGATCGCAGCCCCCCAGGGACGGCGAGGTCTAATTTGAATCCGCCGTGGGTGCAGAGTGTGCTGGGCCCCCCAGCAGGCCTCGAGAGTGGCGACAGTTTCACAGATCGCAGCCCCCCAGGGATGGCGAGGTCCCATTTGAGTCCGCCGCGGGTGCAGACTGTGTTGGGATGGCGAGGTCTCATTTGAGTCTGCCGTGGGTACCCACTGTGCTGGGCCCCCCAGCAGGCCTCGAAAGTTGCGACAGTTTCGCAGATCGCAGCCCCCCAGGGATGGCGAGGTCCCATTTGAATCCGCCGCGGGTGCAGACTGTGCTGGGCCCCCCAGCAGGCCTCGAAAGTGGCGACAGTTTCGCAGATCGCAGCCCCCCAGAGATGGCGAGGTCCCATTTGAATCCGCCGCGGGTGCAGACTGTGCTGGGCCCCCCAGCAGGCCTCGAAAGTGGCGAGTTCACATTTGAGTCCGCCGCGGGTGCAGAGTGTGCTGGGCCCCCCAGCAGGCCTCGAACATGGCGACAGTTTCACATATCGCAGCCCCCCAGGGATGGCGAGGTCTAACTTGAATCCGCCGTGGGTACCCACTGTGCTGGGCCCCCCAGCAGGCCTCGAAAGTGGCGACAGTTTCCCATATCGCAGCCCCCAGGGATGGCGAGGTCCCATTTGAGTCCGCCGCGGGTGCAGACTGTGCTGGGCCCCCCAGCAGCCCTCGAAAGTGGCGACAGTTTCGCAGATCGCAGCCCCCCAGGGACGGCGAGGTCTAATTTGAATCCGCCGCGGGTGCAGACTGTGCTGGGCAGGCCTCGAACGTGGCGACAGTTTCACAGATCGCAGCCCCCCAGGGATGGCGAGGTCTAATTTGAATCCGCCGCGGGTGCAGACTGTGCTGGGCCCCGCCAGCAGGCCCCGAAAGTGGCGACAGTTTCGCATATCGCAGCCCGCCAGGGATGGCGAGGTCTCATTTAAGTCCGCCGCGGGTGCAGACTGTGCTGGGCCCCCCAGCAGCCCTCGAAAGTGGCGACAGTTTCACAGATCGCAGCCCCCAGGGATGGCGATGTCTAAGCTGAGTCCCCGTAAGACGTCACTCCGCTGCCCCCCCCCCCAGCAGCCGTCGAAAATGGCGACAGTTTCACGGATCGCAGCCCCCCAGCGATGGCGAGGTCGAATCTGAGTCCCAGTAAAACGTCACTGTGCTGGGCCCCATCAGCAGGCCTCGAAAGTGGCGACAGTTTGACAGATCGCAGCTCCCCAGTGACGGCGAGGTTTAATCTGAGTCCCCGTAAGACGTCACTGTGCTGGGCCCACCAGCAGCCTTCGAAAGTGGCGGCAGTTTAACGGATCGCAGCCCCCCATGGATGGCGATGTCGAATCTGAGGTCGCGTAAAACGTCACTGTGCTGGGCCCCTCAGCAGCCCTCGAAAGAGGCGACAGTTTCACGGATCGCAGCCCCACAGCGATGGCGAGGTCTAATCTGGGTCCCCGTAAGACGTCACTGTGCTGGGCCCCCCAGCTGCCCTCGAAAACGGCGACAGTCTCACAGATCGCAGCCCCCCGGGGATGGCGAGGTCTAATCTGAATCCCCGTAAGACGTCACTCCGCTGCCCCCCCCAGCAGCCCTCGAAAGTGGCGACACTTTCACGGATCGCAGCCCCCCAGCGATGGCGAGGTCGAATCTGAGTCCCCGTAAAACGTCGCTGTGCTGGGCCCCCCAGCAGCCCTCGAAAGTGGCGGCAGTTTCACGGATCGGGAGAAGGGAGGAGAGGAGGGGGACGGGGAGGAGGAGGAGGAGGAGGAGGAGGAGGAGGGGAGACGCGACCGCAGTGCTCTATTCAAAACGAGAACCCAACGCAGGAGGGTTGGGACATTACCCTGCGACGTACCCAACCCACGTGCATCACATGGCAAGAGGACTATGCCAACATTAGCAGGAACAACGACACTGTAGACGCGGCGATTTGCTGTGCAAGCTACATGGGATGCGCATGCGTTGCACGATTCACAGGACGACGATCGAAAGAACGAGGATTGAGGCCCCAGGATCGAAGAAGAACGGGTACGGGAACGAGGGGTAGGAGAGGGATGGAATGGAGGGCGGGGGGGGGCGAAAGGCCATCGCGGAAGCAGCAGCATGCATGGAGAAGGTGAGGCGGGGAATAGGACGACGATGCAAGTGGCGGGAGGAGACAGAAGACTGCCGCGTTTTTCAAGTGCGAGCTAAACCCGCAGCGCTGCCTGCGCCATGTCGTCGCAGAGTTCCACATGATAAAACTTGTTTAGAGTGCAAGGAACGAGCGAGGCGTAGCTCGCCCGCTAGCTTCTCCGCCTCCTTCCCGCACATTTCAGCGCGGGAGCTGAACGCTCGCAGGCGCGCCGCCAGGTCTGCGGGCGGCCCGCGGGAAAGAAACTCAAGGCCGGGGTCGCGTATCATCAATCGGTTGTCCATCGTCCAAAGTTGCACTGGCGACGTACTGGTTGAACGCGGAGCGAGCAGCATCACGCGCGTGCCTGAACGCCACGCAGGTACAGTGCACGCGCGATTGGGACTTCAGGTCGATCACGCGCGTCTCCACCAGGCTTGGCAACACCACGCGACTGAGGATCTCACTGCGGTCTGCCATGCTGCTGTCCGCGAATGCAATGCGCTGCCTGCAAGTAAGGCGGCGGCGTCCACTTGTCTCAGAAGATGTTCCCGCGGGCCCGAAGGGCGACCGCCAGCTCGAGCCGCGGCGCCGGCAGGCCAGATAAGGATCATGCAACAGCAAAGACGATGACAGAGCAACGAGGTATCGGCGAGTGCATGACAGGCCTCCGTTTCCTGCACTTCTTTCCTGTAGTTCCCCTAGCTCATCGAGCTCAGCAGATGTTTCTGCGGGTCCGAAGGACGACCGCCAGCTCGAGTCGCAGCGCCGACGAGCTGCATGCACATCAGGCAACACCCCAGGAGACACTGGCACACAACGATTTGACGTCAGTCAGTGCCAGACCACTCCATGTCTAGTTCCTCGCACACATACAGTCGATCGCAGATGCGGGATAATCGAAGTAGAATGACGGGTCCAATCTGCGTCCGCGTAGGACGTCACTATGCTGGACCCCGCAGCAGGTTTCGAAAGTGGCGACAGTTTCGTGGGCCCCACAGCAGCCCTCGAAAGTGGCGACAGTTTCACAGATCGCAGCCCCCCAGGGATGGCGAGGTCTAATCTGAGTCCCCGTAGGACGTCACTCCGCTGGCCCCCCAAGCAGCCTTCGAAAGTGGCGACAGTTTCACAGATCGCAGCCCCCCAGGGATGGCGAGGTCTAATCTATATCCCCGTAGGGCGTCACTCCGCTGGGCCCCCCACGCAGCCCTCGAAAGTGGCGACAGTTTCACAGATCGCAGCCCCCCAGGGATGGCGAGGTCTAATCTGAATCCCCGTAGGGCGACACTCCGCTGGGCCCCCCAGCAGCCCTCGAAAGTGGCGACAGTTTCACAGATCGCAGCCCCCCAGGGATGGCGAGGTCTAATCTAAATATGCGTTGGCCCTCACTGTGCTGGGCCCCCAGCAGGCCTCGAAAATGGCGACAGTTTCGCATATCGCAGCCCCCCAGGGATGGCGAGGTCTAATTGGGGTCCGCGCGTGGCGTCACTGTGCTGGGCCCCCCAGCAGGCCTCGAAAGTGGCGACAGCTTCACAGATCGCAGCCCCCCAGGGATGGCGAGGTCTAGTCTGAATCCCCGTAGGGCGTCACTCCGTTGGGCCCCCCAGCAGCCTCGAAAGTGGCGACAGTTTCACAGATCGCAGCCCCCCAGGGATGGCGAGGTGTAATCTGAATCCCCGTAGGGCGTCACTCCGCTGGGCCCCCCAGCAGGCCTCGAAAGTTGCGATAGTTTCGCAGATCGCAGCCCCCCCAGGGATGGCGAGGTCTAATCTGAGTCCCCGTAGGGCGTCACTCCGCTGGCCACCCCAGCAGCCCTCGAAAGTGGCGACAGTTTCGCAGATCGCAGCCCCCCAGAGAGGAGGCGGGAGGAGGAGGAGGAAGGTGGAGACCAGAGTGCTCTATTCAAAACGAGTACCCAACGCAGGAGGGTTGGGAAATTACCCTGGCGACGTACCCAACCCCTGCGCAATGCGGGGCATGGGTAGCTTGGGAGACGTTATACGGAGGTGATGACGTGACATGGGCGCATATACTTCTGCGAGCGGCATTCGTGTGGCTCGCAGCCCTCCAGGCACAGCGAGGTCCCGCTCAGATCTGCGCGGTGCCTCATTCCGCTGGACCCACCAGCAGCCCTCGAAAGTGGCGACAGTTCCGCAGATCGCAGCCCCTCAGGGACGGCAAGGTCCCGCTCAGATCTGCGCGGTGCCTCACTCCGCTGGACCCACCAGCAGTCCTCGAAACTGGCGACAGTTCCGCAGATCGCAACCCCCCAAGCACGGCGAGGTCTTGCTCAGATCTGCGCGGTGCCTCACCCCGCTGGACCCCCAGCAGCCCTCGAAAGTGGCGACAGTTTCGTAGATCGCAGCCCCCCAGGCACGGCGACGTCTTGCTCAGACCTGCGCGGTGCCTCACTCCGTTGGACCCACCAGCAGCCCTCGAAAGTGGCGACAGTTCGTAGATCGCAGCCCCCCAGGCATGGCGAGGTCTAATCTAAGTCTGCGTGTGCGTCACTCCGCTGGCCACCCCAGCAGACCTCGAAAGTGGCGACAGTTTCGCAGATCGCAGCCCCCCAGGCACGGCGACGTCTTGCTCAGACCTGCGCGGTGCCTCACTCCGCTGGACCCACCAGCAGCCCTCGAAAGTGGCGACAGTTCCGCAGATCGCAGCCCCCCAGGCACGGCGAGGTCTTGCTCAGATCTGCGCGGTGCCTCACTCCGCTAGACCCCCCAGCAGGCCTCGAAAGTGGCGACAGTTCCACAGATCGCAGCCCCCCAGGGATGGCGAGGTCTTGTTCAGATCTGCGCGGTGCCTCACTCCGCTGGACCCCCAGCAGCCCTCGAAAGTGGCGACAGTTTCGCAGATCGCAGCCCCCAGGCATGGCGAGGTCTAATCTAAGTCTGCGAGGGGCGTCACTCCGCTGGCCACCCCAGCAGACCTCGAAAGTGACGACAGTTTCGCAGATCGCACCCCCCCAGGCATGGCGAGGTCTAATTTGGGTCCGCGCGTGGCGTCACTGTGCTTGGCCCCCCAGCAAGCCTCGAAAGTGGCGACAGTTTCACAGATCGCAGCCCCCCAGGGATGGCGAGGTCTAATCTAAATATGCGTTGGCCGTCACTGTGCTGGGCCCCCCAGCAGGCCTCGAAAATGGCGACAGTTTCGCAGATCGCAGCCCCCCAGGGATGGCGAGGTCTAATTGGGGTCCGCGCGTGGCGTCACTGTGCTGGGCCCCCCAGCAGGCCTCGAAAATGGCGACAGTTTCGCAGATCGCAGCCCCCCAGGGATGGCGAGGTCTAATTTGGGTCCGCCCGTGGCCCTCACTGTGCTGGGCCCCCCAGCAGGCCTCGAAAGTGGCGACAGTTTCGCAGATCGCAGCCCCCCAGGGATGGCGAGGTCTAATTTGGGTCCGCCCGTGGCCCTCACTGTGCTGGGCCCCCCAGCAGGCCTCGAAAGTGGCGACAGTTTCACAGATCGCAGCCCCCCGCAGGCAAGACAGGAGGAGACAGGCAGGAGGCAGGAGGGAGGCGGGAGGAGACGCGACCACACTGCTCTATTCAAAACGAATACCCAACCAAGGAGGGTTGGGAAAAACAAACTTGTACGAGCATGGCCACACCGCTTGCTGGCCTTCGCCTCCCCTCTCCCTAGATGTGGCCGCTCCAAATTTTTCGATGCGTGGGCCTTGGAGGTCTGGACCACTTCCCTGGGGCCGGTTTGCGTCCCGGGTCGCTTCTTGACGGCCCCGAGGCCCGGCGAGGGCCTCTGGAGGCCTCGCAGGGCCTCGGGGCCCTCGGATCTTTGAATCCCTCCCTCCTCCTCCTCCTCTTCCTCTTCCTCCTCCTCCTCCTCCTTCTCCTCCTCCTCCTCCTCCTCCTCCTCCTCCTCCTCCTCCTCCTCCTCCTCCTCCTCCTCCTTCCCCCGAAGCCCTGGGTGCACCACCGTGGCGCGGCCTGCTCTGCGGGCGCCAGGCGTGCCCTACGTTGCGCTGCCGACCCCAGGCACGCTCGGCCGCGCGGCTGGCTGCGCCCGGCCTCGCCGCCGTGGCCGCGGCCGTCGCCGCCGCCGCTGCCGCCGCCGTCGCCGCCGCCGCCGTTCGCTCCGAGGGGAGAGAGGCTCGGGTCGGGCCGAGCGAAAGGGGGGGATAGGGAAAGGGGGGGGTACGAAATCTGCTGCATGCAAATGGTTTCGGCCCCGCCGCCGGGCCCATTCCTCGACACATGGGCGCCTCCCGGCGCTGGGAGGCGCTGTGAAAATCGGCTACGTGAGCTGATTCTCTATCCTACCCTTTGCTATCCCCCCCTTTCGTCCCCCCCGATCTGGGGGGGCACCGTGAGGCTCCGAGGTGCTCGGACGTTCTCGTCGGTACTCGGCGGTTCTCACGAATTTACTTGGGGATCGCGCTATCGCTCGAGGCTTCCTCGCGGTTCATGCAGGACCCACGCTTCAGCAACCCGCCTGCCCGACCTGGTCGCCTGGACTCGCCTTCCTGACCTGCCCGCTATGGGTTTGCTTACTCGATCTGCCTGTTTGGTTCTACCGCTTGTTTTCTGCTCCTTGCCCCCCTCCTGCTAATTTCTCTCGTGCTCCATTCTCTCCCCCCCTTCCACCCGTTTTCTCTTCCCTTGTTTAAGGGGCTGCACTAAATGCACGTGGCAGGTAAGGAAGACATACCCCCAAGGGGGTACGATCGAAGACGACGAGGGCGGGTACCGAGGGTTTGGGATATACGTACTGATTGGCACGTGAGCAGGTAGAGGCGAACAGTTGTAATATTATTGTTGTTGTTGTTTTGGTTGTTGTTGCGCCGTTGATGATGTTGTTGTTGTTGTGGTTGTGGTTGTGGTTGGTGTCGTTGCTGTGGTGGTGGTGGTGGTGATTGTTGTTGCTGTTGTTGTTGAACTGTCGTTGTTGAAGAATAACATTGTTGATCCCCCCTCCAGTGACCGCTGTGTTTTCTCAATTGAAGTGCTTCCCCTGGGGCTCGCACCCTGTTATTTCATAGAGGAAAGTTGCTAGGCTCAAACTGGGCCCCTGGCCCCCGGATGCAACAACAACGGCTCCCTCCTGATACCTCCTCACAATGTATTCCCAAATCGTTCTCTCGCGCGGGACTTCCTCACAATTCATCTACGCATTGCGCTCTCGCGTGGGACTTCCTCGCAAGTTATTCAGACGATGCGCCCTCGGCGCTCAGGAATCACGCTCTCGCTCTGGCTTTTCTCACGATTTACTTGGAAATCGCGCCATCGCTTGAGACTTCCTCGCGATTCATTCAGGACCCACGCTTCAGCAACCCGCCTGCTCGACCTGGTCGCCTGTGCGCGCCTTCCCGACCTGCCCGCTATGGGTCTGCCCACCCGATCTGGGGGGGCACCGTGAGGCTCCGAGGTGCTCGGACGTTCTCGTCGGTACTCGGTGGTTCTCACGAATTTACTTGGGGATCGCGCTATCGCTCGAGGCTTCCTCGCGGTTCATGCAGGACCCACGCTTCAGCAACCCGCCTGCCCGACCTGGTCGCCTGTGCGCGCCTTCCCGACCTGCCCGCTATGGGTCTGCCCACCCGATCTGCCTGTCTGATTATACCTCGTGTTTTTTGCTCCTTGCCCCCCTCCTGCTAATTTCTCTCTTGCTCCATTCTCCTCTCTCCCCCTTTACCCGTCCCCTCTTCCCTTGTTTAGGGGCTGCACTACATGCACGTGGTAGGTAAGGAAGGCATACACCCAAGGGGGTACGATCGAAGACGACGAGGGCGGGTACCGAGGGTTTGGGATATACGTATTGGTTGGCACTTGAACAAATAAGAGCGCACAGTTTCTACATGATTGATGTTGTTGTTGTTGTTGTTGTTGTTGTTGTTGTTGTTGGTGTGGTTGTTGTTGTTGTTGTTGTTGTTGTTGTGGTTGTGGTTGTTCTTGTTGGTGTTGTTGTGGTTGCTTCTGCTTCTGCTGCTCTTGTTGTTGTTCTTGTTATTGTTGTTGAACTCTCGCTATTGCAGAATGATTATTGTTGCCCCTCCCCCCCTAGGCTCAAACTGTGCCCCTGGCTCCCGGGTTACAACAACAACAACGGCTCCCGCCTGATACTTCCTCACACTTTAGCCAGGACCCCCGCTCCCGCCTGAGACTTCTTTGTGTTTTATTCAGGAATCGCGCTCTCGCTGGGGAATTCTTTATTATGTATCCAGGAATCGCTCTCTCGGTGCTCTGGAGTCGCGCTCTCGCTGGAGACTTGCTTGCAATTAGCTCAAGAATCGCGGTCTTGCGTTGGAATTCCTTGCAATTTATTGAGCGAGGCGCTCCCGACACTCAGGCACCCAGGAGTCGCGCTCACGCTTAGGACTCCCTCACAGCTTATTTAGGAATCGAGATCTCGCTGCCCTTCGTAGCCCCGTTGCAGCTCTTCGTGGCCCCCTTGCTGCCCTTCGTGGACCCGGTGTAGCCCTTCGTGGTTCCCCCGCTGCCCTTCGTGGCCCCGTTGCAGCCCTTCGTGGCCCCCTCGCTGCCCTTCGTGAACCCGTTGCAGCCATTCGTGGTCCCCTAGCTGCTCTTCGTGGCCCCGTTGCAGCCCTTCGTGGCGGGGAGGTGGAGAGAGAAGGTTCGTTTCAACTGCGCTGGTCCTGTTGAGCGTTTGCGAACGTGGACGAGGGAGATCGAGGGGGAGAGAGGTTGAAGCATCTTCCACTGTACGTCTGTGTGTGGAGGCGCTGAGACGTATGTGCATGCGCATGCGCACGTGCAGGTTTAACTGCATACACGCGGTGGTGCGGGCGCTTGCGGACGCCCACACGCATGCGCATTCTCCTGTGCATGTGCGTGCGTATGCTCTTTTGTATGTGCGGTCGTATGAGCTTGTCCCGCTTCCTGCCCCCGTGTGCACATCACGTCGGCAGCCTCTGGCTCAGGAGCAGCCCAGGGACCCCCGCGGCCTAGGGCCGGAGAGGGACGCCCGGCATGGGCAGTTTTCGCGGAGGGCAGTCCTCGGCGCGGCCGCAGCCGCCGCGCGCCAGGCGCTTCCCCAGTCTTCTGCCCGCGGTCGCCCTCGTGGCGGCGTGCGGGCACCTCGTGGCGCGCCTCGCCTTCCTGGCCCCGCCCCCCGCGCCGCGCCCGCGGGCCGCGGCGGGACCCCACGCGGGCGCCACCGCGGGGGCGCCCGGCCCAGGGCTGCTCGCGAGCCCGCCGGGGTACGCCCCCGCCGCGCACGCCCGCGTGCGCGGCACAGCGGCGGGCGCCCCGCCGGCCCGGAGCGGCGGGCTCGCGGCGGGGGGCGGTGTGTCTCTGCCGCGGGCGCTGTTGTTGCACCCGGACGCGGGCATGCCCGGCTTCGCGCAGGTGTCGGGCGGCGAGAGCGATGCATCGGAGGGGGAAGAGATGCCAGTACCTCTGGCTTTCCCCTCGTCGCCATGGCCAGATTCGCTTCGAACGTCTCGCCAGAAGGCTTCCCTGGAGACATCTGGGGAGTAGCCTCTGCCCCGATGCACATCCACCGCCCCTGGCCAGGCCCATCTTAAGCCCAGGGTGGGAGACTGCGCCGCCCCCTGGCTGGGCCCAGGGGGCGCGTGTACACCGCTCCTGGGCCCAGGATGGGCGTGGCCAGGAACGCTGGATACACTCAATCGATCTCGTCGCCCCGAGGTGGAACACATGGGAAGCGCGGCGGGCGGCGGCGGGAGCCCGGGCTGGGCCGCGGCCGCGGCGCAGCTGGTTTTCCGCGCGAGGTGGGACCTGCTGGAGACCAGCAGCAACGCCTCCAGCGGGGCGGTGGTGGAGCTGAGCACGCTGAGCGCGTCGGAACTCTGCGCGCAGGCCGCCGCGCTGCCGGAGTACGACCTGGTGCTGGGCGTGGACCTGGTCGAGCCTCCGCCGGGAGACTGCGCGGCCGCGGTCCAGGCGGCCATCGAGGGCAGCGCGGCCCGCCTGTTCATCTCCAGCTCCCCGGGCGGGGCCGTGGGCGCCTTCTGGAGGGGTCTCACGCTGCTGCAGGGCGCCACCGCGGAGGACCTGGAGGACCAGGGCTCGACCGAAACGGCGTTTCGGCGATGTCGTGGTCCGTGTTCTTGCCGATGCTGTCTTGCAGCGAAAAGTCGGCACGAAGACAGAACGAGGGAAGGCAAGCACGGCACGAAAACGGACAGAAACACTGTTCAGGTCGAGCCCCGTTGAGGACCCCGGGCCCCTCGGCCTCAGGGCGGCCGTCGGCGGTTGGGGCGCCGCCGCCAAGCTGGCGGCGGAGGTCTCGGACCTCTGGCACAGGCGGACGGCCGAGGAGGCGGTCTACGCGATGCTGGTGCTCATCGACGGCGCGGTGCGCCCGCTGGACGCGATGCAGGCGCAGAAGCCCGTGCCGGACGTGGACTCCGTAGCTCGCGCCATCGATCGGTGCCAGGACTGACTCGTCGCCGCGCTGCCTGTTCCGACGCGCGGCCTTGCGTCTTGGGGGGGCGCCGCGGGCACGAGGGCAAACGCCGCCACGGGCGCGGTGGGCTCGCCTTGGGTTTTCTGCGTGGCGGCCTCGTCTACTTGGGCGCGGGAGGCAAGGGTGGCCGTGGGGGTGGGGGGGCAGGTTCGAGATTGTGGGTTCGACGGGGCTTCTTGCTTTCATCAGCCTCCAGGGGCCCTTTTCGGGCGCCCCCGGTGCCGTGAGAAACGGAGCCAGGGTGAAAGATTGCACCAGATGGACCCCGTGAGCGGTCTGCCCCCTTCGGCTGGAGTGTCCGGGGTCCCAGCCAGTGCGGAGCCCATGGCCGCCTCCAAGCCAGGACGAGTTCCGCGCGTGCTTCACGGAGCCGAAGTGCCTGCAGAACCTGGCCTGCCTCTCGGCCTGCGGCCTCGCGGACCAGTCGTGCTCCTACCGGTGCGGTGGTTAGCTGCCCCGATGCGCCCGCCTTGGAAACGCAGCACGTGCCGTGTTCGGAGCGCCCGTGCTGGCACGCTGCGTGTTGGCCCAGCGGGTCGGCCCACGTTTCGTAACGCGCCAGGCGTGCGTTTTCAGTCTTCCCGTTGAGCTCCGTGTCGGCACGGTGCGGGTTGCGTGTGGCGTGTTGGGGCAGCTGGGCAGGTGCATCGTCTCTTACCAGAACGAGGCGTTTACGCAGTTCACGCTGTGCGCGCTGCAGGGGCGCAACATGCTCAACTCGCGGATCGAGCGCCCAGCACTGCCGCTGGCGCCGCCGATGAGGGAATTCCGCGGAACGCCGCTGACCCACGAGCTCGCCGAAAACATCCTGGTGGGCCACTTTGACCCTGCCACAGGGGGCCAGAATCACAGCTGGCTGGTGTACGCTGGTTCTAACCCAGCCTACGAGCAGTTCGCGTGGCAGTACCAGCTCTGGTACAAGGGCGAGAAGAGAAACCAGTTCTGGTACCGCCCGACGTTCCTGGTTGAGGCCTTGGACGGCCGCAAGATCTGGCGCACCCGTGACTACCGGGTGCGGCGAGCGGAGGACGACTGGCGGGAGACGTATCCCCAGACATGCGACGTCCTGATTTTTACAATGCGCGGCCCTGGAAGTCCTGACCCTTTCACTGGGACCGATTTTCGTCCCGAGTCGTTTTGTTGACGGTCCCCGGGCCCGTCGAGCGCCCCAGGGGGGCCGAAAACTCCCAAAACCGTCCGTCGTGTCTTCTTCGTGACGCGAGCGCGTCTGGGTCCATCTCCACGTCCTCGCTGTCTGGACCCCTCGGCCGCGACCCCACCAACACGGGGTGGCCCTGTGCGGACTCCCCCCCGCGCGGAGCGTACCCACCGGCGTCACCCGCGACGTTCTGATGCCAGGTGTGCGTCGCCCCCCCTCGGGGCGACGCGCGGGCAGAGAAGTCCTGCGGTGCTAGCTCCGTGGCGGGCGCTCTCTGGCCTTTTGCTGCTCGGGAAGCGGCATGCTGCAGGATGTTTCTACAGTCCTCGGCGGCAAGCGAGGGGGGAAGCGAGAAGGAGAGGGCCTTCTCGGAAGGTTCGGAAGTCCCCCGGCCTTCTGCTGCGAAGTTCTCTGAGCCTTCCCCGAAGACACCAAAAACTGCTCCGAAGGCGCGAGGGCTTCTGTCGGAGGTTGATAGACCTCCTACCCTGACACGTCGATTAAGGAATTGGCCGTCTTCGCTTCGCGAGAGGGCGTCGCGGCCGTCATTTTTGCGGGTCCAGGTCCGTTGGTTTCGGTCCCAGGCCGTTTTCACTCAGGGGAGGTTTACTCAAGGGAGGTTTGTCCACCGCCGATTCCGAGAAGTCCCGCCGCCTGCTCGGAAGGCCTTCCCCTTCCCAGTTTCCCCCCCCCCTCGCGCACCCGTGGGACTGCGCCGCACTTGGCCGTGCCCGCCGCTCGCGCCAGAGGAGCCCGGCATGTGGGAGTTCTCGGTGCTCGACAACGGCATCGTCTCCGAGGAGAAGGAGCCACTTTTTTGTACAGCGCGCCGACCCAGAGATCCAGCGTAGTGAAAAACTCAAGAAGGAGGTTTCTCCAAAATGTCGGCCACTGGGGGCCCTCGCCGGGCCTCGGGACCGTCAAGAAACGACTCAGGATGAACAACCGGTCCTGGGGAGTGGGTCAAGATTTCTGGGCACCGCGTATGGACAAAAAATCACGACATCGGATCTCTGGGGGCCCGTGCTTCGTTCCTCTCCCCGTGGCTGGCGTGGGCGGGGGAGGAGGGCGGGATGGGGGCCTGAGTCGTGACGTGGCCGGGGGGGTGTCGGGCCAGAGGGAGGGGGGCGGGGCCAGCAACGTGCACCAGCGAATGCGACAACACCGGCTCGAGTGGCGCCTGCTCGGCGCGGACGACGGCCTCGGCTGGCTGGTGCTGGGGGAGCCAGGAGATTCCGGCGCCACTGCTCCCCGGGGCCATTCCTGGGGCGCGCTCTGACCAGGATTCCGGGGCGAACCCCGCCGGGGCGACGAAGGCCTCCCGGGAGGCTCAAGAGGGCGACGGCGAGGAGAGGGCAGCGGTGTGTCGGTGCCTCTGCTTCCGCCGCCGAGGTGCTCTTCTACGTGGGCGCGGCGCGGAAGGCCGGCCTGTCCTACCGCGGCTGCGTGGTGCTCACGCCGGACGGGCGGCCGCCAGAGGGCCCAGGGGCCATGGAGGGCGTAGCCGCCGCGGTGGAGCGCGCGGGCCTGCGGCCGTGGGAGCTGGAGGCGGGGAGGGGGGTTATCGGCGGCGGGCGAGGGGGGGAGAAGGAGGGGGGGGAGGAGGAGGAGGAGGAGGAGGAGGAGGAGGAGGAGGAGGAGGAGGAGGAGGAGGAGGAGGAGGAGGAGGAGGAGGAGGAGGAGGAGGAGGAGGGAGGAGGAGGAGGAGGGAGGAGGAGGAGAGGAGGAGGAGGAGGAGGAGGAGGAGGGAGGAGGAGGAGGAGGAGGAGGAGGAGGAGGAGGAGGAGGGAGGAGGAGGAGGAGGAGGAGGAGGAGGAAGAGGAGGAGGAAGAGGAGGACGAGACGGGAGAGGAGGAGGAGGAGGAGGAGGAGGAGGAGGAGGAGGAGGAGACCTCTCAGAAGGCGGCGGGCCTCCTCAGAAGCTCTCGGCCCTCGGCGGGAAGTGAGAATCGGGGGCAACGATAGGGGGGATAGGCATAGGGGGGGATGCATCGACCCCCAATCGCCCATTGATCGACGATAGGGGCCCGACAGCCCCAAACTGCCCAGGAAGGTGCGGATTCACTATCGGGGGCCTATCGCCGATCTATCGGCGATGTATCGCAGATTCCAGGTCTATGTTTCCCCCCTATCCCTATCTCCCCCTATCGTTGCCCCTCAGAGAAGGAGAAGACCTTCTCAGAAGGCGGCGGGCCTCCTCAGAAGCGCTCGGGCCTTTGCGAAGTTTTCGGTGCCTTCGGAGAAGGCTCTGAAAGCTTCTCAGAAGGCTGGTGGACTTCCCAGCCGTCTGAGAAGGTCCGCCCCTCATCACTTCCCTCCCGGGCGCGCCGCCTAAGATAGGCTCGAGGTTTGAGATGTTGGCATTTCTTGTTGGTTCTCGACGGTCGTCCAGCCTCGGAGTGCTCTCCAGCAGTCGTGCCTCGCCGCGAGCCTTCTGGAGGTGACCGACTCGTCCCGAGCGGCCGCCGGGGACCCGAGCTATGACCCGAAAGCACCGGGCGGAGCTGGCTCAAGCGGGGAGGGCTGTGCATGTACTCTGGCCCAGGCCCATCCTGGGCCCAGCATCGGTATACCCTGAGATCCCGGCGGTCGATCTTTTTTCACAACGGGCGACTTTCCTTGTCTCGGGCCCGGGGACCCCGGCTGACCGATCCGGCGCGGAACATGCCGCAGAGAGATGAGGTCCAGTGCTCTGGCCGAGTACTTTTTTACAATGCTGTTGTCTTTGCGTGGCGCCGGATATCCGGGAATTCGCTTCCCTGCCCAAGCCAAGAGGGCCCATGCACCGATCCCGAGCCCAGCGTGGGCCTGGCCAGGGCCGGGAGGGAGATGAGGAGGGGGTCGCCTCCGCGTGAGGGTGGCCCTTCGCCGGAGTGATCTCTGATGGGGGCCCATCGGGGCCCCCCCCGCAACGGCTGGGACGGTCGGCTTCGGCCTCTCCGCCGCCCCCCCGGAGCCGCGCACCGAGGCCACTCAGTGTCACTCCCGCCCAGGGCCGCTCCTGCGTGCTAGCGAAGGTGGACTCGGATCTCCGACGGCTCGCCTCCTCCGCAGCGTGGGCCCCTGGGGCCGCTCGGCTCTCGACGCCCCCCCTTCTCCTCGTCCTCCTCCTCCTCCTCCTCCTCCTCATCCTCCTCTTCCTTCCTCCTTCCTCCTCCACCATTCCATTTCCTTACAGGTAACTTCTCTCTGTCGCACCCCGAGGCCAGTCTTTAGAGCGGGCTGGGCGTTTCGCCTGAGACTTCCTCGCCACAAATGACCCTGAATATTGAACGTCGGCACACGTTTCACAGATGGAGGGCAGGTGGTTTTCAAAATGTAGCTCTCGCCATAGCGCCGCGCACATTCGGCCTAACAAATCGCAAGAGCTTCACGGATTGAGGGCGGCCAGTTTTCAAAATCTGGCTCTCTCCTTAGCGCCGCGCGCATTCGTTTTTGATATTCGAAAGAGTTTCACGGATTGAGTGCGGTTCCTTTTCAACATGTGGATCTTGATTTAGCGCCGCGCATACTCGTTATCAACATTTGCACAAGCTTCACGGATTGAGTGCGGTTCCTTTTCAACATGTGGCTCTCGCTTTAGCGCCTCGCACATTCGTTCTAACAAGTTGCAAGAGTTTCGCGGATTGAGGGCGGGTGGTTTTCAAAATATGGTTCTCGCTTGAGAGCCGTGTGCATTCGTTTACATCTTTGCAAGAGCGTCACGGATTGATTGCATTTGTTTGGTTTTTAACATGTGGTTTTCGTTTGAGCGCCGCGCAAATTCGTTTAGAACATGTACAAGAGTTTCACGGAGTCCCATGATCGACGTACCAGAAAGGATGTTCTGGACAGATTCAGGACGTTGATCCGCGGTGTTGAATTCTCAGGAATGGCGTTCTGGCACAATTCAGGCTCGTCAAGATGCACCTGTCAGGTTGATCCGTGGCGTTGGAATCCCGAGAACTGTGTTTTGGCATGCTTGAGAATCTTCAAACGGTTGTCTTCCGACGAGGCAGTTCCCTCAGTGGAGATGAACCGTTGTAGTAGACTATGATGAGGGAACTTGGAGGGAGGGTTATTCCAACATCGTTGATGCCTCTTGGGTTTACACTGGTCCTCCTCGTCCTCTTCCTCCTCCTCCTCCTCCTCCTCCTCCTCTTCCTCCTCCTCCTCCTCCCCCCCCTCCTCCCTGGGAACTGGCTCCTCCTCTGCGGGCCGTGTTCTGGCGGCCCCGCCGCGGGGCCCTGAGAAGCGGCCCCCCGGACGCCGCAGGGTCCCGAAGAAGCCTGCGGCGCGCTTTTTTTTGTTCTCACTCGCGGCGCGGGAGGTCCGAGCACGGGCCGGTCGCTGCGAGAGGTGATCTCGAAGAGAAAGCGAGCGTTTTTCGGTACAGATCTTGGCGTCGCAGTTTTGTCACAACGGGGGTTTCTGCCTGGTTTCGGGCCCCGCGGGGCCCTCAGGGATCGAGCCCGCGGGAAAGATAACGCAGCAAGATCGGTTCTGGGGCTCCAGTTGGGATTTTGCGATGTTGCAATGTTTCGACAGCGTCGGATCTCAGGGCCTGGCGATAACGGGCGTGACTGGGGGATGGGGAGGGGCGGAGAGGGCTGGTCACGTTGCGATTCGCGCCAGCGCCGTCTAGGAATGCTCAGGTCTGGCTCATTCCCAGGCGGCGCTGGTGCGAATCGTGACGTGACCAGGGGGGGAGGGGGGGGGGGGGGCAGGTCACGGGTGTCATCGCGAATGCGAAATACATGGGTTCGAACTGGCTGCACAAGCATCAGCTCGTGGAGGTCCGCGCGGAGTTCTCGGGTCGGTGCTGGACCCCCCCCCTCTCCCTGGCGCGCGCAGTGCGCCGGGGGTGGCGCTGGAGGCGCCACGAAGGGGGGTCCAGCGCCGACCCAGGCAGTCCGCGCGGACCCCCGAACGTCTTTGTGTCCTCCTCCTGCTCCTCCTCCTCCTCCTCCTCCTCCTCCTCCTCCTCCTCCTCTTCTGTTACAACGTGGGCCCCCCGAGGTCTCGACACCTTCCCCAGGACCGGCCTTTCATCCTGAGCGGTTGCTTGGCGGCCCCGGGGCCCGGCCACGGACCTCCCAGAGGCCCGAGGCCGAGGTCTGCTCCCCAGGCAGTCCGCAGCGATAGCTTTTGTCGCAGCGCGGGGGGGCATTGGAGTGCGGGGGGCGCGCCCCGGGTGAAGGCAGGGGTGGCTGGGCCTGCTCCGAAGGCCTCTGCCCCTTCTGCGAAGCGTTCTGCGCCTGCTCCGGAGCCGCAGGGGGCTCCGCAGAAGAAGGGCTCCGGAGAAGACCCGTGCAGGCCTTCTGAGCAGGCCTGCGCCCCCCCCCCTCTCGCCTCCCCCCTCGGCGCGCCGCCGAGTACGGGGAAGGAGACCACCAACCCGCCGCTCGACCCGAGCAACCCGCCCCCGCTCCTCGCGCCGGAGACGCAGCCGGCGGCCCCGCTGCTGAGGGAGCGGGCGCTCGCGGCAGCATAGGGCGGGCCGCGCTGAGGGGCGCTCGGTGCGGGCCGCCCGGGCCCGCCCAGTCGCCGGCGACGAGCCCAGGCGTTCGAGGGATGGTCTCTTCCCGGGAGGAGGAAAGGATTCGCATGTCGCTGCTCGTCCTGGAGAGCCCTCGTCGGTGCGGCGGGGTTCTCCCCCCTCAATTCTGGCCATCGCATGGGCCCCCGGGGGAGGATCTGGGGAGTAGAGAGATCGGTACCTTCCTGCCTCCCCATGGTTTTTCTTTCAACAGCAAAAAGCTGCAATGGATTTGGGCGGCTCTGGTTTCGACGGTGCGCGCAAGATGTGCGGCCAGGGTGGCGTGCTATGCCGTGCCATGCCGTGCTGTGCCTTGCTGTGCCGTGCCCCCTTGCCGTGCCGTGCTTGGTTTCGGGAATGGGAAGAAGTTGCCGTCCCGTGCCGTGCCGTTCTCGCGTGCCGTGCCGTGCCGTGTCCTGGCTGGTTTTGAGAATTCGGCGCCATTGCTGTGCCGTGCCGTGCCGTGCTCGCGTGCCGTGACGTGCCGTGCTCGGTATCGAGAAAACGAAGAAGTTGCCTTGCAGTGCCGTGTCGCGCTTGGTTTCGAGAGTGCGAACAAGTTGCCGTGCCCGCGTGCCGTGCCGTGCCGTGCTGTGTTTGGGCATGGGAATGCAAGCATATTGCCGTGTCGTGTCTACATGCCGTGCCGCGTCGTGGTTCGATTCGAGAATGCGACGAAGTTGCCGTGCCTTGCCGTGCCGTGCGTGGTTTCGGGAACGCGCAACAGTTGCCGTGTCGCGCCCGCGTGCCGTGCCGTGCCGTGCCGTGCTTGATTTCGAAAGTGTGATGTGGTTGCCGTACCGTGCCGTGCCTGGTCTTCGGAATGCGAAGGGGTTGCCGTGCAATTCCGCGTTGATGTTTAGGGTTTAGGCTGTGAGTGACGGAGTATTTACAATCCCTATCGTGCTTCCTCAACTTCGCCGTGCGGGGGCCGTTTTCGAGGCCCGAGGGTCAGCTAATCTCTGTCCACGGGAAAAACAGCTTTCTCTGGGGAAGGGGTCTAAGGCTCAGAGGGTCGCCCTTTGAAAACATTACGCCGTCGGATGTCTGGGAGTGCCAGGGGACGCCAACTATACGCCTGCACCGATCCTGGCCATGCCTAGCGCAGCACTGCGTGGTGACGCCCAGTAGGCTGTCAGTCCTTGAGGGGCTGTCATGAGGCCTACCTGGACCGCCTTGGGGCCCTCTTGGGAAAATCTTGGACCGTCCTTGAGCCCTGTTGGTGCCGTCCTGGGTCGTCTCGGACCCCTCTCGGTCGTCTGAAAGGGTTTTTCAGGGCTGTCTTGGGAGCCTCTTGGTGCTCTCTTGGGCCATCTTGGGGCTGTCCTGGGCCGCCGGGGGGCTGTTCAGGGCCCTCACTGGTCCCTTTTGCCATCCTTTTGTCTCCTCGAAGGCTCTCGTGGAGCCACCTTGGGCCGAGAGGGCGGGAAACGCAAACTATTTAAAAACAACCTCAGGCTGCCATTCAGCAGCATGATTCTGGCCTCCTAGAAAAGGCTTTTTTCGTGTCTTGGGACCCGCTTGGTGCCTGTTGGCACCTCTCGAGGTCCTCTAAGCTGCTCCTGGCTCACTCTTGAGGCATCCGGGGGGGAGCCCCAGAGAGGCGTCGGGCCGCCCGGGTCGGTGCGCGCCGATTGGCGTGAGGAGAGGCGGGGTGGCCTTTGGAAGAATTGCAGGAGCCCCTATCGGGCAGGATCTGCCATTCTGCCACGCCTCGGCGTGCCACCGGGCGCGGGCGGCGGATACGCCGTCCTCCAGGTCCGGGGTCGAACGAGCAGGGGTGGGAATTTAGGGGGGGGATTTATGGGGGGGACCTCTCACACGCCTGGAGGTCCACAAGGGGTCGGCGGATCTTGACTTTGTGCCCCGAGATCCGACGCCGCGACAAAACATTGCAACATCGCGGGGGGACCCCACGCTGGGGGGGGCCGCCAGGGGCTCGCGCCACGAGAGGCAGGTGGGTCCGCCGGAGAGTGAAGGCGTTGGGTCAGGCGTGGGAGGAGACGGGGGCCGATGCCAACGGGGGTCAGCCAGAGCGCCGGGTCTCGCAGGATCCTGCAAAGCTCGGGGGTGGACAGAACCCGCACCCCGACACGTCGATTCGTGGATTGTCCGTTCTCGGTTCGCGCCGCGGCCGCCCTTGTCCAGGCTTGCGCCCGCCAGGTATGGGCCCGAGGTCGTTTTCACTAAATCACGTTTCAGTAAAGGGGGTTCTGTCCATCCCCGAAACGGCTGACCGACCCGGGTTTGCATTGACCGTGACCTGGGCTTGCAGTGACCCGAGTCAGCAGAGGCCCATCAGCGAGCGTCGGCCACGCGCCGAGGGGGGATAGGGGGAGGGGGGAGGACTTTTCAGAAGCACCCCCGCTTCTCAGGAGGTGCGGGGGCTCATCTATAGAATGTAGCAGGGCCGGCGCCTTCTGAGAAGCTGCCTCCTTCTAAGAAACCCTCTCCGCTTCCTCCGCCTCCTGGTGCGCGCCGCCAAACCTCATGGTCTGGTGCAGTCAAGTCGCTGCATTAAGGACCACTTGGGGCTCAGGGGGGGCTCTATTTTTGGGCGCGTTCTCAGGTTTAGGTCGGGGGACCTCTCCGTGGCCGAGGCTCTCGCAGTGACCAGAAGCGCCGCCTTGTTCCCTATCTGGCGCTCCTTGTGGCAGCGCGCTGATGATGTGTCCTCGGAACTCTGCCTTTGGAGTGCAGTAGCGTGCGCTGGCGTTTGGTAATCGACGAGGGAGCGCCGATCACCGAACGCTAAGTCGACGCTAAGTTTAGTCGGGCCTGTCCCTCTACAGGAGGAAAAGTCAAACATAGTAAAAAAATAGCCCGGGGATTATTTTTTGAGTATATATATATATATATGGTAGGGGGGGCTCCTGAGATCTACCTTTCAGTTCTTCAGCTTGGTGTTGCTGCTGCCTTTGTGTTGTTTCCTGTGTTGTCTTTCCTTGAAGTTCTTCCGTTGCCTAATGTGTTGCCTTTCGTGTGATCCTTTGCTCTGGCTCTTTGGCTGAGGATATGTGGTGAGTTTTCCAGTTTCGGGCTGATTCGGAAACTAGAATTCTAACAAGGCGGAACAACCAGAAAAAGCGGAAAAACCAGAAAAAGCGGAAAAAAACATAAACAAATCAGCTGGAACCCTGTGTTTTCACAGGGATCACCTGTTTCGGAGCCTCAAAATCAAAGGCTTGACTGTGAAAACACATGGTTTTCTTTGATTTTTATTTATTTTATTAAGAAAAGCGGTAAGGCCTGAGTGTGATCCCTGTGCAGGCACAGGGATCACCTGTCCCAGCTATTGCTTTTTCTTAGTATAACCAATGAAAATCAAAGAAAACCTTATGGTTTCACAGTCAAGCTTTTGATTTTGAGACTCCGAAGCAGGTGATCCCTGTGAAAACACAGGGTTCCAGCCTTTTTTTTTGTTGTTTTTTTTGTTTCTCCAGTTTTTTGTGTGTTTTTTTATGTTTTTTTTTGCTTGTTCCGCCTTCTGGGAAACCAGAATTCTAACAAGGCGGAAAAAACAGAAACAGCGGAAAAAAAACAGAAAATGCGGAAACACAAAAAACACATCAGTTGGAACCCTGTGTTTTCACAGGGATCACTTGTTTCGGAGCTTCAGAATCAAAGGTTTGACTGTGAAAACACAGCGTTTTCTTTGATTCTTGTTTGTTTTATTAAGAAAAAGCGGTAAGGCCTGAGTGTGATCCCTGTGCAGGCACAGGGATCACCTGTCCCAGCTACCGCTTTTTCTTAGTAAAACCAGCAAGCATCAAAGAAAACCTTGTGTTTTCACAGTCAAGCCTTTGATTTTGAGGCTCCGAAACAGGTGATCCCTGTGAAAACACAGGGTTCCAGCTGATTTTTTTATTGTTTCATTTTTTTATGTTTTTTTTTTGTTGGAAACCAGAATTCTAACAAGGCGAAAAAACAGAAAAAGCTGAAAAAAACCAGAAAAAACTGAAAAAAAAACCCAGAAACAAATCAGCTGGAAACTTGTGTTTTCACAGGGATCACTTGTTTCGGAGCTTCAAAATCAAAGGTTTGACTGTGAAAGCACAGGGTTTTCTTTGATTTTTATTGGTTTCATTAAGAAAAAGCGGTAAGGCCTGAGTGTGATCCCTGTGCAGGCACAGGGATCACCTGTCCCAGCTACATTTTTCTTAGTAAAACCAACAAGCATCAAAGAAAACCTTGTGTTTTCACAGTCAAGCCTTCGATTTTGAGGCTCCGAAACAGGTGATCCCTGTGAAAACACAGGGTTCCAGCTGTTTTTTTTTAATGGTTTTTCAGCTTTTTCTTGTTTTTCTGCTTTTTGTGGTTTTTCCGCCTTGTTGAAAACCAAAATTCGGAGGAGCATTTCTGATAGAATTCGCGCCCTCAAAGAAACAAGGATGACGCAACCCAAGGTGTCTCCGAGCACAGCCTTTGAGATTGCAGCCCGGTGTACAATAAAAGACGAAGGCTTCCAAATTCAAGGGCCATGCTTGGCGGGCATATGTGGTTGTCTTTCATTTGTCTGATGATATCTTGTGAGAGTATCCCACAAACCCTCCAGTAGATGAGACAAATGCCCCCCCGAGCGTGGTCTTTGGAGTTCCAGCCCACTGGGTCTGGAATTTCGAGGACCACGCTCGGGGGGGCATTTCTTTTTGACTCTTCCGATTTTCTTCGGGTATCTTGGCGGTCTGAGGGTATCGCACAAACCATCCAATCGATAAGAAGGACGCCCCCCCGAGCGTGGTCTTTGGAGTTCCAGCCCACAGGGTTCTGGAATTTCGGGGACCACGCTCGGGGGGGCATTTTTTTTTGCTCCTCCGATTTTCTTCGGGTATCTTGGCGGTATGAGGGTATCGCACAAACCGTCCAATCGATAAGGCATCAAGTCTCATGTCAAGCGGAAACTGCAGAAGTGGGCAATGAGCATTGAGACATTGGACGGCCTGACTGAATTACAA